CATTACAGAAACTGCAAACAAATTACTGGAGGCCAGACGCAGTGGCAGAAGCCTGTAATCCCCAGCACTGTGGGAGGCCAAGGCGAGAGGATTGCCTGGAGTCAGAGGTTTGAGACAGCTTGGGCAACTTGGTGAGACCTCATCTCTAAATCAAAAAATTAGCTGGGTAAGGTGGTGTGCACCTGTAGTTCCAGCTACTTGAGCTACCTGTGCCCAGCAGGTTGAGGTGGCAGTGGCCATGAGTGTGCCACTGCACTTCTGCCTGGTTAACAGAGTCATACTCCCAACTCAAAAAAAAAACTCATGATCTCACATAAACCACTTCTAAAATACCAGTTACAACTACCTGGTAGGGAATCCAGATCTGGCACCTGCCAGTCACAAAACAAGCCCGCAAATCCAGTGCAGTCAACAGCACCAACAGTGCACCAGGCAACCACGCCTCATGGGCCATGTGTACCCCCCACCAGCACTGAGGATTCAGCCAGATGAGGCAGAGGTCTTGAAGAGAAATTCACCACAGGATTTCAAGGCAGATCCCACTCCATGCCAGTTACAGTCTTTCGCCATGGTGACAATCATATTTACTGAGCAGCTATTCACTCCCTCCAGGGCAGCACGAGGACAGATGAGATATGCAAACTCACCCAAGGACATAGGAAAGCCAGAGTCTGATCACTCTTGTCTCCTCTCTGAGAAAGGCTTCCTCCCCCAGGGTGCCAACTGCCTCCCAGGGTCAGTCTGAGATGGGGGACAAACACCACAACACGCCAGGCAGCTCAGGGATCCTCTCCAGTGCCGCTCCCTTCCCACCCTGATCCGCTGGCACCCTCACCAGATCCTGTCATGCTGCAGGAGTCACGCAAGGCACTTACAGATCCAAGGCAGCCAAGGCCAAGCAGCCCCTGCCCTCGGTGCTGTTGGCAGGGAAAGGAGAAGATGGTCAACCAGAGGAAGCTAAAAGCTGCGGACAAACAAGCACACTTGCCCCCAAACCTGCACTGCTCTTGCATTCGAAGCCCTTTTCTAAGAGCTCATGAGGACAAGACTCTGCCCACCCTTCTATGCACACTTGCTCAGTTTCCTACATCGTTTAGTTTACACTGCCTCCAGGGAGTCCAACACAATCTATAAGAGTCCCAGCAGACAAGACCTGCCTATGCATATGCAGGCATGTAGCCTACTTCACTTGCTGTGTCCCCAGTAAGCCAATTCCCTTCCACTCACCCTTGATGTCTCCTGTGAGTTCTAGTGCTCATACAGGGCAGTGCCCACTGTTGCCACTTCAGCCAAGTCACAGCACACATTCACAGAGCCAGGATGCAATGGCCCAGCACTGTGCTGGTACAGGGACCTCACCAAGAAGACACGATAACTTCTCCAGGAGCTGGGCTCCACTCCCAGCTCTAGCCCAGGCACGCACATGAGCAACAGCCTGGGAAGAGTCCCCACTACCTCAGAAAGCAGGGCTGTTGAGGTGGAAAAGGAACAGTTAGGTCTCCTCTTCCAGGCAACTCCTCAGCTTGCCTGGGAGACAACTGAACTGCTCATCCTGCACCACCCAGGTGCTGCTCTGGACAAGCACACAGCAGATTGGGCCAAGCAGAGGGATCGATGCCAGACAGACTTCCCTGCTCCTCTGGCTGCAGCCAGGCCTGTGCCTCCCAGACAAACATAGGAAGACCCCCTCCACACTGGGGAGCAAGACAGACTTCCTTCAGATGTGGGGAGGCCCAAACTTACTGTCCTATAAAAAAGTGGGGTTCTCAAGCACCAAAAACAAGTTTTGGTCCTTCTCAATTAAAAATGAAAACAGGCCAGGCACGGGGGTTCATGCCTGTAATCCCGGCACTTTGAGAGTCAGACACAAGAGGGTTGCTTACGCCCAGGGGTTCAAGACCAGCCTGGACAACATGGTGAGACCTTGTTTCCAAAATAAATAACAAAATTAGCTGGACATGGGGACACACACCTGTACTTGCTACTTGGAAAGCTGAGAAGAAAGGATCATCTGAGCCCAGTAGGTGGAGGCTATGGAGGCAGTGAGCATGACACTGCACTCCAGCCTGGGAGACAGAACAAGAATCTGACTAAAAAAAAAATAAATAAATAAAAATGAAACCAGGCCAGGTGCGGTGGCTCACACCTGCAATCCCAGCACTTTGGAAGACGGAAGTGAGAGAGCTGTCTGAGTCAGAGGTTTGAGATCAGCCTGGGCAACTTGGCAAAACCTCATCTCTACAACGAACCAAAAAATCAACTGGGTGTGGTGGCACAAATCTGTAGTTCCAGTTATTTGAGGTCAAGGATGTAGTGGCCTCGAGTGTGCCACTGCACTCCAGCCTGGGAGTCAGTGAGATTCCGACAACAAAAGAAAAAAACTAGCCGGGCTCGGTGGCTCAGCCTGTAATCCCGCGCCTTTGGGAGGCTGAGGTGAGTGGATTACCTGAGCCTGCGGGTTC